ACGTGTACTTTAAAGGAGAACTATGAGGTGAGTGCTTTTCACTCACCTCATAGTTCTAGCCGACCTGTGACAATGGGACTGTCACAGGTCGGCTCAGTAGATCAGGAAGTGAGCGAACACATACCGGCGTTCGCTCACTTCTCGAACCTGTCACAGCTCTCTGCCGTGACAGGGGAGGGGCTGGATTCCCCCGCTGACTGGCGGATCGGACGGGGGAGGGGCGGGTACAGCTGGCTCTGCCTCTAGATAGGCAGAGCCAGCTGTCACTCACGCAGCTGGGCGGATCCCGGCATAACCCGATCTTTTATATTTTACCAAAAAACTGGTTAATAATAAATGTTTCCTAACATAATGTAAAAAAAAACTTTTTTTTTTCAAAATTTTCTGTAATTTTTCCTAATTATAATAAAAAATAAAAACCCCAGTGGTGATTAAATACCCCCAAAATAAAGCCCTATCTGTCCCCAAAAAATGGTATAAAATTCATTTCAGTACAGCGTTGCATGACGGAATAAACGTCAGTCAAATGACTGCAGCGCTTAACACTGAAAAATGGCCTGGCCAGGAAGGGGGTCTAAACACCTGGTCTTGAAGTGGTTAAAACAAAGTAATACTTAATACTTCTTTCCTATGCCCCTCAGCTCCATCTAGTGGTCATAATGTGGTATTTCCCTGATATCATTTGACTTGGAAAGAAAGAATACTAAGAATGTTTGTTTATGCTTTCATTCGCACAGAACAAATGTTTCACAGGAGGAATTGCTCTGCAAATTATTTATACACCCCTTTGTGTTCTTTTCATCATCTATTAGGAGTAATCACACAAAAAATACTACATCATGGTATTATCCGTGCAAATACTGCACTCCGTATTACTTGTGTTATTTTACCAACTAATGTCTTATTTGAACACTTACTACCATAAAATGTATGTCAGTTCAACTGAATTACTAAAATATTATTAGGCTGTGTCTGGAGAAATGTGAACGGTTCTGTGAGGTGACTATTGAGAAGAGCAGAAAAGGGGGCTGTTTATGGTGGAGATAAAATACCAATTCCTGGATAAAGTACTCATTTAAGGGGTATAAATGTCAATTTTTCATGTGAAAAAAATACATATTCCACACCTACTGTATGTGACATTTATGTTTATGAACAAAACATTTTCATGAGAAAATGGTCATGTGAGGAAGTAACAACTGCAGATAAAATAATTCGTAGAGTTCAGTGAAATTACCCATAAAGTATATCTAAAGTAATGACATTTTTTTTCATTTTGGACATAATGGGGAAGGATTAAACTTTATTTTACTTCTCTTTTAGGTCACAGGAGAACATTTACTAATTTATATTTTTATTATTGGTATTTATATAGCGCCATCAATTTTACACAGTGCTTTACATAGTTGCACATTCACATCAGCCCCTGCCCTCGAGGAGCTACAATCTAAAGTCCCTATCTCACATACATACATGGGCCAATTTAGACAGGAGCCAATTAACCTACCAGCATATCTTTGGAGTGTGGGAGGAAACCGGAGTACCCGGAGGAATCCCACACAAGCACAGGGAGAACATGCTAACTCCTTACTCCTGTGACCCAAAGTCAACATATAGGGGCCTAGTGCCCACCATATGCTGACAGCGCAGGCGCGCTGCAGCTGGGAAACATCCAGACAATAATGTTGGAATCCACCCAGCTGCTTGATTGACAGCTGGCTCCACCTCTTTAGAGCCAGCTGTGCCCACCCCTTCTTCTGTCTGTCCCTCCAATGAAAGCTGGCAGAATGGAGAGTGGTGGGGGAATCCCTGCGGGGGGCAGTGACTGATGGTCACCGCTCTCCACTGGGAGAAGAGACCATGAACTGAGCAATCAGTGGTTACATGATCACTCAGCTCTCAGTATATATAGTCGGTGTGACAGCTGCAGTCTCCCGCACCGGCTCTAAGTATTTGGAAGAGTATATTTTACTCTCCTAATACTTCTCCTTTAAAACCATTGCCATCTGTACCTCACTGGGAGGATATCCCTTCACTATCTGTCCTCTAGACACAAAAGAAAGTGAGAAAAAATCTCTACAAAGTGAAGGACAGCTGTCACTGAAACAAATGTGCCCATTAGAAGATTTCCCCCCAATTGGGGAAAATAGATTTTCCCCAATGACAATGGTCACCATGACAACAAAAAATCTTTAATATCGATATTAGGGCACAGTAATCCTCTTACCTCTTGATCATATATAGAGAAAAAAAAACTTAAATAGCGTTATGATTCCAGTTACCAATAAAATATAAAATAATAATGTATTTTTAGGGCAAATTTGCAAAAACGTATTAAAAACAATAGCACACACAATAAAAAGGTTGACTCCTGAACTAGGGAAATACAACTGCGCATTATGTATGAACCACAATCTCCAAGGATTGCCTGCTTCCCTATACCGCTAATGAGCATCACGTTCAAACACCAATTTAAAAATGTGTAAAGATCGAAATTCTCACAAAGAAAACAGCAGCTGTAAAGAATATATCCAATGTGTAGTTTTGCAGCCACAGTTGTATTATACTATTTGTACCCCAACCAAGAACATAGCACATTGTAAGCTTTTCTTAGAATATTGCAGAACACAATGCTCGGTATTGCTACATGAATAACACACGTCAAGGTTCATATAGTATTGATATGATTGAAGTATCTCTCTGGAAACAGTTACCCAATGCTCTTTGATGATACATTGATATGTAAATGATACATTAGATCCACCTCATTTGAATATAATAGTCACCAATACCAGCCTCAATATATGGAATCCCTTTAAATCCTGTTAGATTTATTGCTGTCCAATGCACCCTAGTATAGTCTGTATACTCTTTATGGCTTGTGTGTTTTTGCAAGCATTCTTATAGACATAGGTATAGATAGTACCATAACAGAGCATTCTTATAGACATAGGTATAGATAGTACCATAACAGAGCATTCTTATAGACATAGGTATAGATAGTACCATAACAGAGCATTCTTATAGACATAGGTATAGATAGTACCATAACAGAGCATTCTTATAGACATAGGTATAGATAGTACCATAACAGAGCATTCTTATAGACATAGGTATAGATAGTACCATAACTGAGCATTCTTATAGACATAGGTATAGATAGTACCATAACAGAGCATTCTTATAGACATAGGTATAGATAGTACCATAACTGAGCATTCTTATAGACATAGGTATAGATAGTACCATAACAGATAAATAAGTTCCAAGGGACATGTAATCTTGGAAATTAAATGGAAATTAAATCAATATCCATTTACATGGATATTGAGCAAAACTCAATATCCATGTAAATGTATGGTTTTCCAAAAAAAATGCAAGTGCTGGTACATATGAAGTGTGTTCTCAGAAATTGTATTCTACCCATGAGGCTGTCAGTGTCCTAATGGCAATTGAGAGCAGACCTTACCAACATCCCAAAGGTACTTGAGCTGATTGCATGATGGATTGGTGGCACAATCCTCCTAAGTTCATGAAGGATGGTTGCAAATGGTATAGGGAGAAGTGGGAGCCCCCAGGAGTCTGTCTTTACATGCTATGCATCCTGATGATGCGTTTCCCTTGGTAGGCTGCTTTTGAGAAGCATTAGATTGCCATTATCAATGGCACATTTTTATAAACGGTACCATTGTTAATATTTCTACACGTATGTTCACAAAAACACTCAGCTGTAAAGTGCATATGGACTCTGCTTTGGTATGTTGATATAGTTTGGTATAGTGATAAATCTAAGAGCATTGAAAGTGATACTATATATAGATTCTGGTAATGATGGCCACTATATTCAAACACGGTTGATCTAAAGTATCATTAAAGCTAAATTCTGGTACGTTTGTTAAAATATCCTTGCAGTAGGACCTTCCCACACAGCAAGGATTAAATGTTCATTAAGTCTAGGGGTAGAGGAATAAACTGTAATACTTACCTTATTCCTTGCCCTGGCAGGCTTTCTCTACACTGTGTGACTGCTCCACCGACACCTCTTCTCATTGGTGCTTTAAATGGCAGTCACATTCCAATTTAATCTCATGCAATGCAGGACCAGTAGTCCTGCATTGTAGGTGAGGACGGCGAGGGCCGGCCACAACCAGGAGTGTTGGAGACCTGCCAGAGCAGGAATAAGGTAAGTGTTACAGCTTCTTCCTCTACTCCTAGACTTAAGAAGCAGGCAGGTAACCCTAAGGATATTGTTTACAAAAAACCCAATGCACAGCTTTAAGAATTCCTTTAGGAACCAATATTCACAAAAGCATTGAGCAACTGTTCCTAGAAAGATACTCTGAGCATGTATTCAATTGGATCAATATTATATGAACCCTGACATATTACAGGTTTTTTAATATGTTATTTATGTAGGAATGGCAAGCATTGTATTCTGAAATGGTATTCTAAAAAGAAAAAACTGTCAATGTGCTATCCTCTTGGTCAGAGTACAAATAGTATTAATACAATTATGGTTATAAAATTACACAGTGGATAAATAGAAATGGAAAGTTGAAAAAAATGGATCGTTTATATTGAATATGCACAACTGCTGTTGTCTTTGTGAGGATTTCAATCTTTACAAATTCCTATTTGGTGTTTGAATGTGATGCCCATTTCTGGTATAGGGAAGCATTCAATGCCTATATTCATGGGAAAATGGTGGTTTAATCAATTCAATTTCAGTAGTCCTAAAGTCTGCAACATTTTTCATGTGGGTACTATTATTATTTCATATTTGTGCATATTTGCTCCAATAAAGATACTGGTAAGTGCAATCATAGCTCCGTTTCGGCTTTTTTCTATAACAACAATAAAAATATGACACAGTTCTATCCAAAACTAGGAAAAAGGGTTGCTTTAGATATGCTTCAAGTCTGGTTAGTGGATTTTGGACTGGAAGAATTAAGAATGTTGCCTTTTTTCACTTATTGTGAACCTTCTTCTTTATACTGTAGTGTGCCCAAGCGGAAGGTATGGAAGAGGCTGTTTAGAATTTTGTACATGCAGCAACAACTCCACCTGTAACCCTATTGATGGCTCGTGTCAGTGCTATCCGGGCTGGATTGGCAGCGACTGCTCTGACGGTAAGCAAACTCATATGTTGCCATACAACAATAAATATGTCCTATGTTAGAGCGCTTTATCGCGTGATTTCCGCTCCAAAATCGCACATATTTCCGCGCAATGTCGCTCAATGTAGCTTGTCCAATGCATTTCAATGGAGATGCTCACATCTCACAGCTCAATGTCGCCTGTGGCTCGTCGCTCAAGCTTGTAGCTCGAACCTGACCTATTTTTCTGCGGATGATGTGCGATTTGGACCCAATAGACTCAATCGTGTCGCGCATTACCTGCGATATTGCACGACTTTGTTGCGCGATATCGTGCTACAGAAGTGTCACATTGGCACAGCAATATGGAAAGAAGGAATGATGTCACATCAAGACCGCTTTTAATTTGGTTACAGCCCAATGTAGCAGCGACGTAGTCCCTCCAAAAAGTTGCGCTATGTAGCGGGACATTATGTGCAATGTAGCTCATGTCGCTCAGTTCAGAAGCGATTTTTCATGTCGCTCAGTGTGAATGGGGTCTCAAGGACGGCTGAAACAAAAGTTAACAAGATATCATATGAGCCAATCAATCTATTATTTTCTCCATCATATAACTGCAACTAATTGTCAGTTGTTGAACTCAAAAAGAAGATAAAGTGTATATAAAACCTTTTCTTTTTTTTTATACTCACCACTGGGGAGATTTCCCTTCACTTACTGTTTTGGAAACACAATGGAAAGTATAAGGTAATTTACTCTTAAACTGTTTTTGCTGGAACAGTTGTCCCCACTGGAAAATTTTCCCTTTGCTCCTTTTCTTGCGGGAACCCTAAAACTGTTGAATTTCCCTTCACTTTCTGTTACGGTGATGATGGCCACTAGGACTAGTAGAGTATAAATCTCTCCAGTGGGGACAGCAATAAAAATATGACAGAGTTTATATACTTCTACACTCCATCCAAAACTAAGGAAAACTATTTGGCTTTAGATATAGAACAATGGTCTTTCCATTGTGTGAATCGCCTAAACACTGGGGTGAAGGATTTTTGCAGGTTTGAGCTAGAATAACTAATGAGGTATTTAGCTTGTAATGTGCACTAGAAAAATAAAGTACCTGTGAACAAGGCAGATATATTCCTCTGCACTATTTTATTGTGAAGCCTTATTGTTCATCCCTTGGCTTCATGTTGCTTTGTACAGTCACAGCTTTAGGGACCAGCTCCTGGCTTTCCTTGAAATAAGGAACTACATGTTAATATCAATTATTGCTGAGGAGCCTGCATGTTTCTCATAACAGTACAATTGAGTTAGTCATTATACAATATAGCGATCTTGCAGCAGATGACATTATGCAGATAGTGCTTTATTTTACTTCAAGCTGAAATCTGGACAAACAGCTTAAATAACATACAATACCATTATAGAGCAAAGTGAATCTAACAGTAGCTGTCTCTAGAGTCCTTCAATAAAATTACTGAACAGGAAGTTAGTAGGGAATGTAATGTCGAGTTCCTTCAGCACATTACCATTTATCTATTTTACCTTGCGTTTAAATTATCTCCTCAAACCTGTACTCAGATCTGAAATATTAAAAGAGGACTATGGCCCAATCTTTTCTGGCCATAGTTCTCTTTAGGGTCACTGTAGGACATATACTAATGTCTTCCTGTGACCCAAAACTCAGCATATAGTGGGCTATTGCCTGCTATATGCTGACAGCGCAGAGCCACTCTGTGGTCGGGAAAGATTCGATAATAGTGTCGGGATCCACCCTGTCACCTCTTAAGAGGCAGAGCCAGCTGTGCCTGCCCCCTCCCCTGTCTGTTCCTCCAATCAGCGCCGGATGAACGAAGAAGGGAGGGGGGAAGCGGTGACTGACAGTTACCGCTTTCTGCAGGAAGAAGGTCGGAAACTGAGCCATCAGCTTTTGGTGGTCACTCAGTTCTCGATCTATAGAGCTGACGTGTGACAGCTGTAGTGTCACACGTCAGCTCTAATTGTAAAGGTAAATGTATTTCAATCTCCCCATAATTCTCCTTTAAAGTGTAGGTCCAGCCAAAACGTTTTTTCTAGTTTTGGATAGAGTGCGGAAGTTTTAGAACCTCTTCCAGGTTTTAATGCTATTCGGTGCTCTGTTAAAAAAAAAAAGATTTCCCTACACTACCTGTCTTGGTGACAATGGTTTCACCAAACAGGATGTGAGGGATAATTTGCATCAGAGGCACAGATTTACAGGCATTCTAGCCATCCCCTATTCTACATAAAACAATTGTGTCTGTTGGTGGTTCACCATCACTCCCTCTCTGGCAAAACTGTTGTTACCAGGACAAGACGGGAGCACCAGATAACAATAAAACCTATCGGGGGTTCTATTTCTTTCTTTCTCTATCCAAAAAGAAACAAAAAAGTATTGGCTGCACATGCACTTTAATCGCTTATCATTTTTCTTTTGTTCACAAAGTTGTCCATTTCCCTTATTGGCTGTTTACAAGAAATATGACATCTTGACATCATGACGCTGGCCTTTTTTTTTTAAATGTCAGTTGCCTGTCTGCCATGCTGATGCTTTGCATTTAAAGTGACACTAAACTCAGTTGTTAAATCAATAAAATAGGGCTGCAGCTAACGATTATTTTCATAATCGATTAGTTAGCCGATTATTAAGTTCGATTAATCGGTTAATCGGATTTTTTTTAAAAAACAGACTTCAGTGATGGACTACTAGTTACTTACAAGCTTGGCACGGTGGAAGTAAAAAAAAAGTGTGGTGTGCAATATAGTACATTATACAGCGGCACAGTGCAGAATACCAGCAGCTATAGAGGAATGCAGCAATAGTACATTATACTATAATGTACTATTGCTGGGATTTGTAGTCCTCTGTAGCTGGCGTTATACTGCATTGCGTCAATCGTCAATTTTAATCGACTAAATCGATTAACTGTTGCAGCTCTACAATCAAATGCATTCAAGTACCTTAACTATTACACAAATAAGATACATTTTTGTTATCACATGACTGTAGATCCACAAATCATCTCTAAATTGGTGCTGACACTGCCCTTGCTTCCGGAGGGTGGCTATTTTTGTTCCCCATGGTCCCTGTGTGTGTTGTAAAGTAGCCACCACTCCAAGCTCAGTCCCCTGATGGACTACAATCCCAGTAAAAATTAGTGAACTAAACGTGAGATTGTAGTCCATCATGAGAGTGAGCTTGGAGCGGTTTCAGCCACCCAGTTAATATTTTCAGAAGGAGTAGAGCAATGGCCACCTGCGTAATTCTATCAGGACAGCATTTTAAGAAAACAGTCTTTGTACATTTGTAAGGATTTGTTTTGTGTTCTTTTCTTCAACAGAATGTCCTTCTGGTCTTTGGGGTCCAGACTGCATCCACACTTGTAACTGTCACAATGATGCCGAGTGCAGTATATATGATGGGGAATGTAAATGTACGCCTGGATGGACAGGGCTGTACTGTACACAGAGTAAGAACAGTTGTATATATTGTTGATGTCCTGTGTTTTTTGCTGCCTTTGAGTAACTTGCCCAGATCTACTACTTTCTGTTCAGACTTACTGTATAATACCCCTACAGCCCACAGTCTCTCATATTTGGGTACTTGTAGCTCTACAATATAAAGATAGCCACTTGTCTTTACCTCAAGACAACACTAGGCAGATCAAAAAGACACACATTAATTAGCCCTGTAATCATTAATACATAATTAAAGAAGTTCTCTAGGAAACTTTTTATTTACCTCTGCAGTGGGCCTACCCCGCACCACAAGGGTTAAGTGCTCATTTCTGTCTAACAAAAGTAACAAAGTTATACTCACCCGAAGCTCCAACCTGACCAGTTGTCACAGCACTCCGTCCAGCCCGTCCTCTCCTCTGCAGCACATTGGAATCTTCCTCAGCGTCCCCACTTCCCTACACAGTGTATAGGTGTGATGATTTACGGGACCTTTGACCATTGCATAGGAGGGGGAAAGACGCTGGAAGGACCGGTCTAAGAAGAAGCCGGCTTGGAGTATCGGGTAATTATAGTTTTTTTTTAACCTAGACACAAACAAGCACTTAACCCTTGCAATGAGGGGGTAGCCCCACTGCAAAGGTTAATTAAACATTTGCTGGAGTCCTTCTTCTTTAAATGCAAGCAGTTTAACTACCTGAATTTGACCTACCGTGTTTCCCCGAAAATAAGACACTATCTTATTTATTTTTTTTGCACGAAATAAAACACTAGATCTTATTTTCGGGGGATGTCTTACCTGGCTGGGGGAGGAGTGGACGAGGTCCCGGAAGGCGGCGTGCTGTTGCCGGTCCCAAGTCTTTTACAGTCCCTGTACAGCAGGGCCGGTGTGTAAGAGAAAGAAGCAGCACAAGGAGCCAGTCAGTTCATGTGCTGACGAGAAGCATGCTGAAAAGATGAAAAAGCAGAGTGACAGAGAGATGAGCTCATCACTGTGCTGCTTCTCCTTTCACTGTTCAGTCACAGAAATACAATTCTGTGGAGGAAATCTCTGAATTGAAGCTGTATACTGCAGCAAAAACTTGTTTTGTTATGTTCTCTTTTAATGTGCAATTCTTTTTTTTTTCTTGTTTTTGGGTACTGTTTTGCCTTAACAAAATAACTTTCAGAGAGCGATTGTGGTTTGGTATCTATTCAGCTGTTACACTAATAACTAGATTGCTAAAATGGAAAGTAGATATCTACCTTCTCCTACTTCACTTGCCATCCAGTAATCCTTCTATGCCATCCTGTTACACTGCATGTTCCATTTCATGTATGCACTCTGCGTTATCTGACAAGATTGTAGAGGACCAACCCGACAGATTGCAGCTGCACAAATCACACATTTATGGAGAATCCAGCCTGTCATACAGATGGGTGATAGGAACACATCCTAGTAACATGGCATTCCCTGCAGAGCTAAAGTGACACACTGCAAATTAGAGGGCGCATAGTATTCACTTATCAATATGAATTTGAAAAGTCCTAATATTCTTGGTAAGCATATTCATTATACATTTACTTTAAGGGAAGTGGGCAAAGATGACACATTTTTCTGAGTAAGGCCCTTTTCAGATAGGTGGCCCAATCAGGTCCATCTATCACTTTTTGAGGAAGATCTAATCGGAAGCCCAATGTTACTCTATGGGCAGCTGGATCTAAATGGACATGCCTCCGTTTACTTCCGATTACCCCCAACTCCATCTAGGTCCGGAAAACAAAACAGAACAATTTTATTATGGCAGACCTGATCGTGACAGATTGGGGTTATTCTGATGTAAACAAACATGTCAATTTACACCCGACTCCCCATAGACCTAACATAGGTCCAGTAAGTTCATTTTTTTCCCTCCATGGTAAGATGGAGGAAACAAATGGACAGACACGGATGTCACAATGGTGACATCTATTGTGAACTGCTCCGATCAGCAGCGGAGGGGTTCTTTGCACTGATCCCCTACTGATCGGAACTGACAGGTTCGTTTAAAAGGGGTGAGCTAATATGCACATTAGTAGACACCGCAATTTCAAATGAGATAAAACTGGTATTTTTAGAGATGTAACCTACTCTGCAATTGGAGTTTATTGTTTAGACAACAGTTCTGCTTTACTAATCGACATAAGTGTGCAGCATATACTTGGTGATGTGAAGAAATCAAGTGTTTTTACTAACTTTAATTTTAGTACAAGAGTAGGTCTTCTTTGTTTTAATGTATTGTAATGACTTTTAATGCGGTAACACCTCTTGACCTGTCCTGAGACTTTTCACAGTGAACTTGACAAGGGAGCAAAGAGGAGCGATCTATAATTCTAACTTGGATTCAGATTTGGAATCCAGCCATCAGAGTAGCTTACTGCCCTCTCCTGGTGTCTGCTGAGCTGCTTTTGCCATTCTCTTATTTAAACATCATTCATAGTATTGCGTTGACCTAAAATAGCAAAGTGGATCTCTGCAGATGTAAAAACAAACAAAGAACACATTGTTCATCTATTGTACAAAAATATGTGCACAACTGAAAATTAAAAATAATGCTAAACAATGGCAACCCATAATTAATTAGATATGTGCATACGATTGTACATATGGCAATCAACAGTTACAAAATGGCCACTTACAATTTAAAAATTGCTATAGTCAGAAGTTGATCAGAGCTAATGATTCTGAAAGCAAACCTGAAGTCACAAATAAAGTTTAACTACTATGCCTTAGCATATGCAATAAGAGGAACCCTTAGGTGCCTGAACACCTGATCAGCTGTTCAATTGACTATAAAACCCAGGGTGCTCTGATTTACAAATATCATTTGGCTCCCATCATTGGGTGCTCAGTCCCAGCTCCCTGCTCTGCCATACTGTTGGCAGGGCGCCTATTACACTGCATGGCTAGTAGTGAGACATCAGAAGGGCCATGGCCAGGCTTTTGACCATTGGAGTTGGGTAAACTTGGTATACCAGAGGTCCCCAAAATTTGGAGCTCTTGGGTGGCTTTGCTGCACAGTTAAGCTGGAGAAACCCACTAGTTAATTTTGAACTACAGTTCAGTTATTTCAAGTATGCTTTAAACAAATTGGGGCATGGGTTGGGTTGTGGTATAACACCACACTTGCGTTCAGGGGTTGGTTTCAGCTTACTGGAAGTAGAACTAGAGTACAATGTGTAGAGTCGGGTGCTTGCATATGATTTGTAATGTCATATGACCAAGTTTAGCAAATGATGAGGAAAGTTTCAATCTGTTTTAGCAGTGGCCTCCTGACCGAGTGCTAAGCAAGTGCCCTATGCATTAAATTTAAAGTGACACTAAACTCAGGACTTAAATCTTAAAAATGCATTCAAGTATCTTCACTATTAACACAAATGTATCTCACTGTCCTTCCTTCTGGAGGGTGGCTGCTTTTGTTCCCCATGGTGCCTGTGTGTTGTAGCCATCACTCCAAGCTCGCTCAACAAAATGTGAGATTGTAATCCATCACAGGGGTGAGCTTGGAGCGGTGGCACCATGGGGAACAAAATTAGCCCCCCTCCAGAATGAAGGACAGTGTCAGCACCAATTCAGAGATGATTTGAGGATCTACAGCCGAGTGATACACAAATAAGATACATTTTTGTTAATATTTATGGTACTTGAATGCATTTTTAAGATTTAACTCCCGAGTTTAGTGTCACTTTAAAAGCAACACTCCAATAGAGCCATCCTGTTATTTGTTCTTCCAGTTGTAGCAGATATACTCACAAATTACAGAGGGCTCCTTTTTTCTTATGCACTTTTATACAAAATAACTTTATGGTGTGTAGATACAGCATAAGTAAAGGCAAATGGTTCCAAAGGTAGATCTGATGATTACACAATATAAATATTCCATCAGTGCGAACATAAAAGTGCTTAAGATGTCAAAAAGCCTTTCAATCACAATTCTAAAGTAATATAGAAGAGAAAGCTTCACTGGAACCATCATCAGCCTTAACACTTCTGTACATGATGCTTCAGATCAACCCCTTGTTTTACAATATTAACTGCTTCTGTGTTAAGAGATCTACATTTTTGACATGAGTGTAAAGGAACACGCTTAATACTGTTAGTAATACTTTATTGCTTAGTAATATTATTATTTTATTTAACATAGTGGCCAAACTGCATTTTACCCTGTATGGAAACCACTTTATTAAAAAAAAACTGAACATGGTTTATAAAATTATACTTTTAGGGAAATGGAATAGATATTGACATTTGCAATTGGGGGGAAAAAAGAAATACAAAGACAGTACTGATTAAGTTATGGCATGTAAAATGTTTCATTGTTCAGCATGTAGGAAAGAACTGGGAGCAACCTTGCAGAGCTAATCCCTGTTTGGCAGTTGTATTAGGCAACAATATGTTGGTTCTCTTTGGTTGCTTGATAGTGTTAAAACTATGTGGGCCAGATGAAGGAAGCATCTCGCAGGGTTGCTACCTGTGGTTATGTGTTGGGTGCAGATCCAATGAAGCAGATTGGAAGCAACTATGTTAATTAGTGCATGCCCTGCACCAGTCATGTGTGAGAAGGTGTTTGTGAACCAATGTGCAAAATTAGAAATGCTGATTAGTTCATAATGACAATATATATTCAGATCTCACACTCATCACCCATGGCAGAGTTCAGTTTTTTCTCTAGTGGATTTACGTTTTTATGCCTTCGGAGTCTCAACAGTGACTTTTGCTGTTTCTCTTCACATCTGAACCCTGCCTGCTGTCATGACCTATCTTCCTACTTTATAACTTCAGAAAGAGGGACACCTAGGTGTCTGGCTATATTGCATCGTACTGAGTAGTGGGCGTGGCTTAAAGAGCAATACTTCAGTAGGTATAGTTAAAAACTCCCCAGTGTTCATGGGAGAAAAAAATGTTCTGCGTCAGTGGTCAATAAAAGGAAATATTCCCCATATTGGTAGTCATTGTGCGGAAAAATGCCCTAAACCAAGTTCATCAGTCCTGCAA